TTCTTCTTCTTTTCTTCTTCTTCTTTTCTTCTTCTTTTCTTCTTCTTCTTTTCTTCTTCTTTTTGTTGTTGCTGTTATTATTATTATTATTCCAGCGACAAATCCTACTCCCATGCAAACCTCCCATGGAAAGCCACCCCCTGTCCTCAGTGCCAGACGTCCTTGGTGTGACACTGGGGGACACGGGCATGTTTCCCCCCCCCTGCAGACCCCACGTCCAGACCACGGGTGGGTTTTATTATTTTTTCAGTGGGTTTAGTCGCCCTGAGAAGCATCAGCTGGTCCTGGTTCTGCAAGGCCCTGTTTCCCAGCTGCTTTTGTCCTGGGTAAGGGAGCTTTGCTCTTTGGGCTGTGCCCACTCCGGATCCCTCAGCCGGGGAAGCAACACCTGGAGCAGCCCAGGGGGGAAGGTGAAAAGGGTAGAGGTACCTGCCCAGCACCAGGAAATGCCTTAGGATATCGGGTGGGAAAGGGTGGAGGTGTTTAACCCCTTCCCATCCTTTCTCCTGCCAAGGAGGTGCATCAGGCTGGGATGAGACAGGTCCTTGCAACCCCCGAAAAAAAGAAGGGAATGAGAGAAAATCCAGCAGCAGAGCAGGATCCCAGAGCGTTCAAGAAGTGGGATGAGGCTGGAGTTTGTGTAAGGGGAGTTTGGAGGGGGGGGAGGTGGGATTCAAGGGGGCCTGGGCAAGTGGAGCCGGCCCTGATGGGATGACATGGGGGGGACGTGGTGTGTCTGAGCCGGGTGGCACAAGGAGCTGGTGTGTCCTGGGGGTGCCAGGGAGCGTGGGAGCAGCAGGGCTGGTGTGCTGGGGGTGGGAGGTGTGCCAGGCAGGTGGGGAGGACCACACTGCCAGGCTGGCTGACGTGGGCATTCCCACCACTGTGCCCATCACATGGTGGCATCAGGTCACTTCCCCCTCCCAGGGGAGCACGCCGGGCTGGAAAATAAATTTCCCTGAGTGAATTCTGCAGGGAGCAGCCTGAGTCTCCCAGCAGAGCTTCTCCACCCCATCATGGCACTGGGGGCAAACCCCAACCCGGGGTCTGAAATCCTACAAAGACCTCACCCTGCCTGCTGGGAGACCGAGGTTTGGGGTGACGGTGGAGGCACCGTGCACCCCGGAATTCCCTCCTTGGCTTCGCGTTGCCGGGATGGAGGCAGAGCAGCCCCATCCGGCGGGTCGGGCCGGGCACCGCAGCCGCTGTGCTGGGCACGGTAATCATTAACGGGGAGAATGCCTGGGAAGCACGGGAGGGGAAAGATGCACAGCCCAGATAGAGCCGGGGAGCAGCCATGCTGCAAAGCCCGGGGCTGGCAGTGGTCTCACCACAAGGGCTGTCCACCCCCTCCCCCCCATAAAAAAAAGAAGCTTTTAAAGGTTTTGGGGTGTTAGTGCTGTTGTCTGGGGAGCCCCACAACACGGCAAGGTGGAGGCACCTTCAGGTGACAGCACCAGCACTTGTGGTGTCACTGTGTCTGGCCCCAAGTGGTGTGGGGGGGCTGGTCCCCCTCTGTCACCACCCCGACCCACCCCTGTGTCCTCAGCCTCCAGCAGGGTTTGGGAGCCACAGAAGGTGTTCACTGGGTTTTAATTGTCCCTCAGCTTGGTGACAGGAACGTCACCCTCCTGGCACAGCTGTTTCCACGGGTGCTTTTGACACCCCTGAGGCAGAACGTGGCTTCTGGGTGGACACGGGGGTGGGAACACGTCGTGTGTGCAGGAACCACAGGGATGGGAGCTGAGTACGGAGGCAGGAATTGGGATGCAGGAGCCATCCAGGGATCGTCCCCATCCAGGAGCTGGAGGGCAGGGACAGCCCCAGGAAGTGGCTGGGCAGGAACACTGGGAGCATCACTTAGTTGGATGCACAAATAACCTGGCATGACAATGGTTAACGCGGCAAGGGTTGGGGAAAGGATAAAATCCCCGGGCTTGGGGTTTTAAGGCAATTACTCCTGGAGTCAGGATGAGGCATCGTAGGGGGCAGCTTATCCTCCAGTTGCCCACTGTGAGGTTCTCACACTTCCCTCATTGTGGCTTCTGGCCTGTTGGAGATGGTATCCGAGGGGTCAGGGAGCCCATCCAGCCTGGAAACCTCCCCATTCCTGCAGCTGAAACAGTCGGGAAGCTCAGGGAAGCCTCATCCCAACGGAGACAGCCTTACCCCGGGGGGCTTCTCTGAGCTGGACCGACCTGGGGAGGAAAAGCTTTACGTGTGGGAGCCACTTCTGATTTCCACAGAGCCTCCCTCAAGCATCTTAATTGCTTTATGCCTTAGTTTCCCTTTCTATAATTTAGGGATAAGGCAACTTCCCTGCTCCCAGAGGGCTGAGAGCTTTAATTAAAGTTTGCAAAGTGCTTTGCAGCCGTTGAATGAAAAGCACCAGCTCGGTATTGTTCCAGAAATGCCCCAAAGCTAGGAAAGAAAATGGGTTCAGTCCAGGACTGGGGACTGGGCGGGGGGGGAAAGCAGTTTATAATATATACCGGGGCCATAAAGCAGCTGTTTCAGTGGACTGAGGATTCCTTAGAGCCAAGGGCCCTGCAGGGTTTGCTCTCCTGGGGAGGCAGCGAGAGGGCAGCGCTGGGCTCTGCCTCCCGGCCGGTCGTGCTGCGGGGGCGGGGAAAAGAGGGCGATGGTCTAAGGGGGGATGAGGGGTGACAGGGGCTGCAGGAAGGGCTGCGGGGTCTGCACCACCTGCAAGGGGGTGGTCGCTGCAGCCTGGGCTGGGAGCAGCGGTCCCAGGGTGTCCTGCGGGCCCGGGATGCTGCACTCACCCCCCATCCCGGCTGCTGCATTCACCCCCCATCCCGGCTGCTGCATTCACCCCCCATCCCGGCTGCTGCATTCACCCCCCATCCCGGCTGCTGCATTCACCCCCCATCCCGGCTGCTGCATTCCAGCCGCTGCCTGCCGCACCCCACAACCTGGCAGCAGCATCCTGTTTCCCTGACTGCAGCCTCCTGCATCCCCAGCTGCAACATCCCACACCGCTGTCCAGAGCATCCCGCATCCCATGTCCCCAGCTGCAGCATTCCACCCTGCATCCCTCACTCCAGCATCCTGCATCCCTGGTGCCTGCAGCATCCCGCACCTTTGGCCAGGTGCTTCCAGCATCCCAACCCAACTGCTGTGTCCCTGCCACTGTGCCCAGCCCTCCTGGGGCTGAAGCAGAGGGTGTGTGGGGTGGGAGCAGGATGTCCAGGGCCTCAGCTGGATGTTATCTCTGAGGACAGACCTCCCCGCTGCCTCTCTGGGCTCCTGGGACCCTCATCGTGGTGGAAAAGGTTTTCCAAAACCTAAATGAATGCTCTCTAGTTGTAATTATAATCAATCTATCATCAGCTACCTGGTTACATGTGGTCCAGCCTGGCCCTGGGCGGTGGGGATGGCTCCGTGGGTTGTCCCACGTGGTGGTTGGAGCCACAGCTGCTGTGCCCGTGGCCTCCTGACACCAGGAATGAGAACCAGGGCTGGGTTCAGCTGCTTCCACTGTGCTGGGGGAGCACCCAGACCCCAGGGGGAGGCTGAAGATAAAGGGAAACTGAGGCAGGGCTGGGAGCGCTGCTGGGGGGGGAACAAGGTTTTCTCTTTTGCTGGTCTCCAAGGAAAACCGAGTTGGCTGCTCCATCCCTCTCTGGGACCAGCTGTGCCCTGGTGAGCACCCACCTCTCCCTCTCCCCCAGGTGAAAGTCTGGTTCCAGAACAGGAGGACGAAATACAAACGGCAGAAGCTGGAGGAGGAAGGCCCCGACTCGGACCAGAAGAAGAAAGGCTCCCACCACATCAACCGATGGCGCCTGGCCACCAAGCAGTCCAGCGGGGAGGACATCGACGTCACCTCCAACGACTAAGGCAGGGACAGGCTCCTGGTGGAGCCACCATGGAGAGGAACCCGGGGGAGGAAGAGGAGGCACAGGCGGCGTCACCCAACGAACTGTAGGGACGCGGCCGAAGCCACCGCCACCCGCTGCCTTTCCTGAGCGGGGACCCGCACCCCGTGTCCCCCTGCTGCCCGGGGTGTCCCTTGGAGGTGCTTTTTGGGAAGCTCCTGCCAAGCCCAGGAGGAAGAGGAGGCTGCCAGGGTGCCCTGTGCCCCGGGACGTGGCCGTGCATCCTCCTGCCGTCCGGCAGCCACGAGATCCAACAAAAACATCCTACCTAGAAGCTCAATGTACCCGACCCCCTTCTTCCCTTATTCTTATTTTCCTTTTTTTTTTTTTTTCCCCCCTTTTCCCCTCCTTTTCTGTTTTCTTTGTTGTGTTTTTTTTTTTTGTTTTCTTTTGTTTTGTTTTGTTCGTTCGTTTTCGTGTCGTTGCTTTTCTTTTTTTATTATTATTGACACGGTTTCATTTTAATTTATTCTCTGATTTGGGTGCCCGTGTGCGTGCGTTCCCCGTCGTAGATAGTCAGCAGCTGTAGTGTGTGTTTCCTGCGTGGTAATAAAGAGCAAAAAAAATGTGCTGGAAAACCTGTCTGGTTGCCTCGATGGAGGGGACACAGTCCCTTTGTCCATACCTCTCCCAGGGCTGGTCGAGAGGCCACGGGGACACTGGTGTGGGGACACACACACCCCGGGTGTTGGTGGGGAGGGTCCCATGGGAGCCTGGTGGCCCCATCCTGGTGGGTGTTGGGAGTTGAGGGTGGTCGTGAGGACCAGGTCGTCCCCCCCCCCCCCCTCGGGGGTGGCCAGAGGTATGAGAGGTATGTGAGAGCTGCGGGTGGGTGGCAGCTTCACACCTGGGCTGGGATTGAATGTCGGGAGAGGCTCCCAGGGGCTGCTCCCCTGGGAATAGGGAATAGCCCCCCCCTCCCAGGATACCCGGGGCTGGAGAGGGACCCTCCCCCAGGGATGAGGGGCTGGGGCAGGAGGGGGTCTTGAGGGGGATGAGTGTCCAGGTGTCCTTCCCACCTCTTGCTGGAGATCGGGGGAAAAGACACTTGTAATGATGTAAAAAATACACGTTTGTGTCTATCAGATGCACCCACAAATAGAACAACTACATGTAAGAGAAACCATATATACCCATATTATACACCAACATGCACACCCAGTGTACACAGACATGTGGATCATGTGTATATATAGTGTGTAAGGTAAATCTGATGGACATTATTTTATATATTTTAATGGCAGATGCACAACATACACTTGTGAGGATGCATTTTGTGTATATAATGTGTGTATACACTGTATAGTACATATTTTTATATATAATTATAATTTTATGCCACATATACACACAATATAATCACAAAATATATACTTGTGTCTTTCTATATGTTTGTGTGTATAGATTGTATTCTATAATGCATATTATATATACATACATATTTTATAATGTATATTCACATATTATGTATTTTATTATAGATCAGAGATTCTGTGTATTATATATCTTATAATAGACATATCTAACATCTGATTGATATATAATGTGCAATTTAAAATACATAATATGTAATATATAGTATATAAATATGCTATAGAATAATATCTAGAATAGCAGATAGCATATAAGAGCATATAGAATATATAGCATATATGAGATATGATATATACCTATATTTTATATCAGTATATAGCTATATATAATATATTTTAATATATTTTATTTGTTTATATTTTTAAAATATATTCTACATATTTTTAATATATTATATATACACACACACACATTGAACAATTCCTCCTGTTGGGAATGTTGCTTCCCACATCCCCCCCGGGCTGCAGGGAAAAGCTTCAACCCCAGCAGCTCCCTCCCCGCCCAGTTCCAGCCAACCAGCCCAGTGGAAACTTCTCCAGACCTTCTCACCCCCCCCTCACCCTCAAGCCTTGGGAGACACGGGAGGTTCCACCACATCCCAAAAGTCCTTCCACTCTTTATTCCGGACAGACTCGAGTGTTGCACAACGTGTGGCGGTCGGTGACACTTCCAAGAAGGTTCAAACCCACCGTGGGGGGGGGTCTGGGGAGGGGTTCAGTGGAAGTGGGAATGTCTGGAAGACATGTGGGTGCTGGCGGGTCACCCCCTGCCCTGCCAGGTCCCAAGGGTCCCACCTGTAGTGTGGTTGCCGGTGCCTTCAATGAGGTGCCACAGGGTGAGGGTGTGAGGAGGGGCAGCTGGGGGGCAAAATGAGCCTTGAAAAAAATAAGGGGAGCAGGATAAGCCAAAAGTGGAGGTTTCCTAAAGCAACCCAGGGAGGTAGGTAGGGCTGGGGGCAGCTGCCACCACCGGGACCACTTCAAGCCTCCCCCATCTGCAGATCCCACACCAGGAACGTGCTCAGAGCCCCGGGCAGCTTCTCAGCTGGCTTTTGGTACCCAAAGGAGGTTTGCTCAAAGGCTGCCTGGGTCTTGCTGAGCGTTCCCCCCAGGGGGTGAGGGGCACCTCAGCCTCCAGGTCTCCATCACAGCCTTTCACAAGGAGCTTCCTGAGGCATAGGGACAACCCTGCCCCCCACACACACATCTCTTGGCTACATGGCATTGGTACAACCCTAAGATCTACCAGGGTGGCAGTGGCCAGCATTGGCTGCATCATGGAATCATGGAATGGTTTAGTTGGGATGGGACCTTCAAGATCATCCAGTTCCAACCCCCCTGCATGGGCAGGGACACCTCCCACCAGCCCAGGTTGCTCCAAGCCCCATCCAACCTGCCCTTCAACACTGCCAGGGATGGGGCAGCCACAGCTTCTCTGGGCAACCTGGGCCAGTGTCACACACAGGGACACAGAGCAGGAAAATGAGCAACAAGCAAAAATGGCAGGAGCTGAGCTGTGGCCAAGCTCCTGGGTGGGTTCAGGACACGGGCAACACAAGCCTGGGATTGTCCCCTGGTTGTCCCCTGGCCAGCTCGGGGAGCAGCAGACAGAAACATCTTCCAGGAGGGACTCCAAACTTCTCTCTGGCACCTTTTGCTGCAACCTGGTCCTCATTATTTCTTAATTAACATAGCCAAGAAATCAATTAACTGCGACATTTCTAATTAAATGCTACAGGAGATGATCATCTCATTCCTTTTATCTGCTGGGGTGAACAACTTGATGTGTGTGGTGGGTTTGGAGCTCCCTGCTTCTTTCCCTTCCCCAATTACAGGAGATGCACATGGTTGGGTCGTCCTCGCAAACCAAAGGCTCCTTTTTTTTTTGTACATGAGGAAAGTCGAGGAGATTAATTAGCTATTAAGTGTCTGTGCTTAATGTTGTCATTAGCTGCTGCGCGTCGTTCTTCTCTGGCACAACGTGCTGTCCTAATAAACACCACTAATGTGCTGCTGCCTTCCCAGCTCCATGGTTCGTTTCTAACTCTGCAGGAAGAGTTGAGGGTGGGATTTTGGTGCTTGCCCATGGTCCCACCATGGATGGCAGTGACCTCTGCAGGAGGGAGCCCAACCTTGAACTGCCTGTGAGTGAAACGGTCTCTTAAGACCCCCAGAAGGGTCAGGTTGGTGCCTCTGGGCCATTCTGCTGCTTTTAAATAAAAATGTTTGAAAAAGCATCTCAACACCACTTCTGCTGGGGTGGTGGTGGCTCAAAAACTGAGCCCCATAGCTCGGCTTCAGGGTCTCAGTGTGGGGACACTGTGGTCTCACCTTCCCCAAGAGTTTGGGGCCACCACAATGTGCTCCTCATACATGTACCTCGCTCTACTTGGGAGCCAGGGAGCAGCAGAGGGGACAGGCAGCAGAGATGGGTCAGCACCGTCCTGGCTGCCCAGAAGACAGGGACACAGATGGGTTTGGGAGATGCAAGGTCAAGTTGTCGGGTCTTCACCCTGCTGGGTATCACTGATGCAAGTGCTACCTTGCAACAGAAGCCCCACAGATGCTTTCAAAAGAGGTGAGGAAAGGGAACTGAATCCCCTGAGGGGTCAGCTCTCCCTTCCCAGCTCCAGGGCAGGAGCATCTCCCCAGGGCTTTGGCGGGGAGACACAACACCTTGAGTTGCATTTGAACAAAATCTGAGAGCAACCGTTGCCACCAACCTGCCAGAGGCTGCAATTGGCTCTTGGAGATGAATCCCAGCCACCACCTGACTTGGGACCCCAGAATATGTTATTTTCTCAGCACAAACTCTGAGCTGACTGAGCCAGTTGTCAGGGCACATCAAGAGGAACGAGTTTGACGGGTTTGTTTAGGAAGACATCAGCCCAGAGTCATTTAGACCTTTTGATTGTCACTTGTTGGATGATGCAGCTGCTTTGGAGCCCAGCCCTAAGCTTGCAGAGCAGCTCCTCTGCCATCCCTCAAGCTGGGCCAGCAGGATCAGGCCCTCGCAAGCCACAGGAGCTACAGTGGCTCAGTCATGAGGTTCATTCTTCTCCAAACCAAAGCAGCCCTGACTGAGCATCCCTGGATGGAGCACCCTCGGCTAACTAAGCTCTGCAGGTGATGTGTACTCAGCCAAACTTGCTTCTCATGACAGAGAAAACTGGGAATTGGCTCTTTCCCAAGGCAGAATTTGCTCAATCCATATTTTTCTTTGGATGTCTCCTAAAGATACCCAGAAGCAAAGTCCTGATTCTCTCCCTCCGCTGCAAATCCCTCGCCCCACCTGTGGGCCAGGCAGGTGGCTGGAGCTCAAAGCCTCTGAAATCTGTGGTCAGTGACCACAAGACAAAACCAATTCAGCATCTCCTGCCTTGCCCCACCTCTCCAAAAGGAAACAGAGCCTGGGCTGAAGAACCTTTGCAGCAGAATGGTTCAGGCTTCCCCACCGGGGAAGGGGAAACCATCCACCCAAACAGGCATTGGGGCAGTTGAAGGGACAGCCAGGCAGCCAGACATCTCCAGGGGACAGGCCACCCCTCTGAGGTTGCAGTCTCCTGCAGCCATCAGTTTGGAAGAGCTGCCAGCTGGAGCTGGTTTCTGCCTTGGGTCCTCCTGTGCACCAGCAGGAGGCTTTGGGCAGTGTTGGCTTTGATGGTTGAGAGTGTTGGGTAAAGGAGAGGAGAAGAAAGGAAGGGAGGAGAGAAAGGAGAAGAAAAAAGAGGAGAGGGAGAGGAGAGGAGAGGAGAGGAGAGGAGAGGAAAAAGGAGGAAAAGGGAGGAAAAGGCAGGAAAAAGGGAAGAAGGGGGGAGAGAAAAAATAAAGGTGAAGGAAAAGAGAAGTAGAATAAAGGAGAAAGAAAGGGAAGGGAAGGGAAGGGAAAGGAGAAGAGAGGAAAAGGAGAAGAGAAGAAAAGAGAAGAGAAGAGAAGAGAAGAGAAGAGAAGAGAAGAGAAGAGAAGAGAAGAAACAAAAGAAGAAAAAAAGAAGAAAAAAGAAGAAAAAATAAGAGAAAGAGAAAAAAGAAAGAGAGAAAAAAGAGAAAAAAAAGAGAAGAGAGATAAAAGAGAAGAGAGAAAAGAGAAAAGAGGAAAGTGGAAAGAAGAAAGAGGAGCTCTGGTTGAAAGGGACCTACAACCATCATCTAGCCCAACTGCCTGACCGCGTCAGGGCTGATCAACAGTCAAAGCACAGTATGTCCTCAGGCACCAGTTTAGCAAAGCCTGGCTTAGCTAATTATCTTAGATTAATAATCTTACTTTTAGAGGGTCTACGTTAGCTGGGACAAATCCCACCCTTCTTGTCTGTGCATAGGGAAGGTGCAGATCAATTACATTTATGCTGTAAGATCCCTTCCTAGTCTATGTGTGGGTGTGTGGGCTTTCCAGTATCTTGAACCTTAGGAAAGAGTCCTGGCAGATACACCTGGCAGTAGGTGACATGAAGTCTTGCAAGTGCAATGAAGGGCAGGATGGCACCAGGGCCACCTGCAGAAGAAGGAGGGAGGGATGGAGGGCTATGACCTCTGCTGTGCCGCGCTGCACGTCGATCCATGGCAGGCTGCTTTTGGGGCAGGATCAGGGTGGCATCAAAACAGGGCACTAAGCAAACACCCTATCAACAGCTTCCCTGCTGACCTCTAGGCAAGTCTTTTAGTGGTCAGTGTGGAGATTTAATTGACATGGAAAACAAAACCTGCTGGGTGAAGGCCCCGTTCAGCAGTCGGGTACAACCACGTAAACATGATGTTCAACGTCCCTCCATGCAGTGCTATGAAGTTCTGAGATTATCCTTTAGCTACTTCTCTAAAGTGTTTGAATGTCATTATCATTATTGTTGTGGTTTGTTGTTTTGTTTTTTTTAGTTGTTGCTGCTGCTCCTGTTGCTAATTTAAAACTTTTAATGTTAAATCTTTTTGCCTGGTGTGAGGTGTCAGTTCTCTGCAAGTGTTAATCTGCTCCCCGGGCGCCGGGAGCAGCAGCACGTTACTATCGCTGAGCTCTACTAGTTGTTTTCTCTTGTTGTTGTTGTTTCCTTCTTCCCAGTCGGGGTCTCAAGTTTCCCCCTCTCCCTCCCCAAATCTTCTGGGCTGAGATGATCCACTTCCCCTTACAATCCTTTGTTGTAAACTACAGTCTTACTGGTGGTGGCCATCGCGATCTCTGGCTCCAGCCGAGACGTCTCGATCTGTGAAACCAAAGAGGAGGCAACATCAGAAGTCTCATCATGGGCTTGTGCTGCAGCAGGAGCTCGGTGGGGCAAGACATTAATGTGGGGAAGCCCCATATGAAATGAATGCAACGTCCATCGTGCCTTTCTCATGTTATTTTAGTGTGGTTTACTCTGCCCAAGTCTCAGAACAGCCCTGTCTGGAGCGGCCGAGGAGACGCGACGCGCGCAGCGTCTCTGAGGAGCCCACGGATCCCACCCATCGCTTCCCAGGAGACAACCCTTCCTTCTCCCACAGCCCAGGTCCCCGCACGTGGCGTTAGAAGGAATCCAATCCCTAAAGCTGTGGTTTGCACCCGTGGGGATCCAAGAAAGCCACAGGCTTCCTGGTGACATGAGGGGACAGCAAACCCTCCTCTGGCTCCTGGACCAGAGCTCTCCATCCTCCAACGGGGACAGATCACAGCTAAAACCCACCCACCCCTTCTTCAACCTCCATAAAACCTCCAGCCCTCTCCTAATTTCTTTTTTTTCCCCTTGCTGCCTTTGCACAAAGCTTTGCACGAAGCTCCAAACCTTTGAATCCCTGGGAAGGACCCGTGGTGTTCCCAGTTCCAGCAGCAAGCAAAGACCCTGCCCCCAAGCAGGACAGGACACCTTGCAAGACCAGACTTCCAGAAATCCCATACATTGAACTGATGCTGTTGCTGACACACAATGCTAGGAACCCACGTTAAAAATCGAAATGCTTTTGAAAATGTTTAACCTAGTTAGACAAATTAGCAAAAATTGGTGCAAAACAATTTAGGTATTTAAAATATTCAATGTTTTTAAAAACTGGAAAAACTGTTCTTAGCTTTCAGCTGCAAAAACCCAACAAAATATAACATCAAAGCAATCTTAACATGAGGTGCAACATAACCCTTCAGCAAAGCTGTTAAACAGCTACTGAAGCATCATGGGAAATAGCACTTCATTTATTCAAATGCACATATGTCAGGTTTTTGCACCATATGTCATTCCAAGCTATTTACAGTAATAATTAAATCTTAATCAACGTTTAACCTCTGTAAAATGTTTGAAGGGATCTAATCACCCTTCAGACTGCACTAATGAAGGAGAAATATATAAACATAAAAAGAAAATGATGCATAGATAGCACACCAGAAAGAACAGTAATTGCAAAATTGTATTTCTCTTAAATATAATCAGCAAATTATGTAAAGTAAGCCAACGAGTATTTTAAGTGAAGACATCTTGGGTGTCAGAGGTGTGATCAGCTAATTTTGTACTGCTATCCATAACAGATGTAGCATATTTTCTTTTGGTGCCATTATTAGCAACTTCACCATTGCTTGCCGTGCTGAAGCACCACGTGAAGCATTGTTGGGGAGAGGACCCAGGGAAGGTGCAGGAGAGGAGACTCTCACGTTCAGGCGCCGCTGGGATCCATCCTGAGGGGGGATTAACTCCCAGCTGCCTGGCCCTGACGCAGCTTTTCTGCCTATTGTCTTCTTCCTTGGGTTTTTTTTTTTTCTTTCCTTCCATGGCAGAAAGGAAAGGCATCAGGTTGACCTGCCAGAAAGCAGCCCCATGGGGAAGGACCTCATGGACCTGGGGGACAAGGGGTTATCCATGGGGCACCCTCGTGGCCAAGACAGCCAAGAGTATCTTGGGATGTATTAAGAACAGTGAGGCCAGCAGGGCAAGGGAGGTTCTTCTCTCACTCTGCTCTGCCCTCCTAAGACCACATCTGGAGGACTGTGTCCAGTTCTGGGCTCTCCAGATCATGAGGGACTGGGATTTGCTGGAAAGAGTCCAATGGAGGCTATGAGGATGATGAAGGGACTGGAACATCTGTCGTATGAGGAAAGGCTGAGAGACCTGGGGCTGTTTAGTCTTGAGAGGAGAAGATTGAGAGGACCTTACTGATGTTTATATCTGAAGGATGGATGTCAAGAATGGGCCTGTCTCTTTCCAGTGGTGCCCTGTGATAGGCTGAGGGGAAATGGCACCAAGTGACAACACAGGAAGTTCCACCTCAACGTGAGGAGAAACGTCTTTCCTGTGAGGGTGACAGAGCCCTGGGACAGGCTGCCCAGAGAGGTTGTGAAGACTTCTTTTCTGGAGACATTCAAGACTCATCTGGATGTGTTCCTGTGTGATGTGCCCTGGGTGTTCCTACTCTGGCAGGGGGGTTGGACTCAATCTTCAGAGGTACCTTCTAACCCCTATGATTCTATGATCCCAGCTGGGTGGTTTCACCCTCTTTATGGAAATACCAAGGTGGGAAGTGCCCTAAAATGATCTGGAATTGGCTGGTCCAAGCCTGAGCATCCCTGCTGGCATTGGTAGGGCATGTGGGATGGCTTGGACAGAGCAAAACCCATCCTAGTACTGGGAACATTTCCACAGAAGGCTGATGGAAAGCCACCAAGCTCTCCAACAGGGGGCTGGAGTGGTGGGAGCTCCAAGGAAAGCCACATCTGCCTTGGTGGACCTCAGATTAGTCATCTTGCAAGCAAGACCTATTGAGGAAACATTGAGGGTGGGATGAGCCTAGAAGAGAGAAGTTCAAGGGAGGCCCAGTGGTATTTGTGTGGGCAAGAGGCTACAGCACAGAAGAAAGGACACGTTTTGTTCACACTCTCTTGGGACACCATTCAAAAAGCATCGAGTAAGATCCAAGCTGAACAGCAGGAAAAGTGTCCTAGTGGGAAGGAGGAAAGGATTTGGAACCAAATGCTTGGGGAAGGTGTTGTGTCTCTGTGGTGGGAAGTTCTCAGCACAAATTAGATGGAACCCATCAAGAACAGTTTTTGCAGAACTGAGCTTGTCTTTGTGGAAGGAGACAGAGGAGATAACTGCTTGTAGGACCTCTTGGCTTCCTTCCCATGGGTCCAGGAAGGAAATGGTTTCCTTTGCCTCCATGGCTGAGCTCTTCACTCATGGCAAGGCTGTACACAAGGCTGTCACAGGGGATGGCTTTAGGAGAGACAGGATTGAGGTGTGATGGTTCAAAGACAAGATGATGGTGTCTGAGCAGAAGGGCAGGGGAATAATACCTGATGTGAGATGGACACAGGGTCAGGGTCTTCAAAGTCAGGGTCTTGGAAGACCTTGGAAGAAGATACAACCAGTCACAGGCACTGGTTTGGAGCTGTGTATTACTGAGCTCACCTAAGCCCCTTTCTGAAGCCTGAGAAGATGTGAAAGATTTGCTGAGGGGAGACTGGTTGAACTGGAGCAACCTCTGCAGACCCTCTTCTGGTTAACTTCAATAAAGCAACTGCTAACCTTAATAAACCAGAAAGTGCTCTTGAATTTCAGCTGCAGGACCTCCAAGGGGTGTATCCACCCCAAGGAGGTAGGGACAGGAGGAACCTACTCCACAGCAGCACCAGCAAAGCTGGTCAGAAGTACATCAGGAGTAACTTGCTCCTCTCACAGGGAAACCAAACACAGAAGAACAGAGAGAAGCATTGAGGTGATGGGTTACAGATAGTAAGACAACACTAAGACAACCTGTCTTCTGCTGGAAAGTGTAAATTCACCTATTTTGGTGCAGATTGCTAGTCCAGCTGTCCACCATCCTGGACATGCTCAGCCAAGTGGACACAGCATCGTGAAAAGGATCTGGAGAGCAAAGAGTTTCTTGTCCATTTCCTTGTGTCTCAGTTTCAAAGAAAGCCCCCAGGAGTGTCCTTCTTGGCCATGGCCATGCTGGGAACCCCTCTAACAGGGAATGCCTCCCATGAAGGGTGGTCTGAGGAACAGGCTCAACCCTGTTGGGACTCCACTGATGGGACATGCCCCACCCCACGCAGGGAAACTTTGTCCTTCCAAGTTGAGTGAGCAGCATGGGACTGGGTTTGAATTGTGTCCATCCTCTTGGCACAGATGTACCTGTTATGGGGCCAAGAATAGATCCCCTTCCTGGCTCTGGGATGATAGCACTGATGTGCCTAGCAGAAAGGGGCCTTCACCAATGAATCCAAGAAAAGAGAAGCCCAAGAGGGACACAAGCTGACAACAGCACTGAGGGAACCATGGTGTGAAAGCACCAATCCAAGAGTGACACAAGACTCTACCAGAACAGGTTGCCCAGGGAAGCTGTGGCTGCCCCATCCCTGGCAGTGTTGAAGGGCAGGTTGGATGGGGCTTGGAGCAGCCTGGGCTGGTGGGAGGTGTCCCTGCCCATGCAGGGGGGTTGGAACTGGATGATCTTGAAGGTCCCTTCCAACCCAAACCAGTCTGGGATTCTATGACCTGCCATGGCTCACAGAATCACAGAATGTCTTTGGCTGGAAGAGACCTCCAAGATCATCCAGTCCAACCTCAGGCCCAACACTGCCAGCTCACCACTAAACCAGGTCCACATGCTGTTTAAATGCCTCCAGAGATGGCAACTCCACCACTGCCCCTGGGCAAACCATTCCAATGCTTGACAACCCTTTCAGGGAAGAGAAATGCTTCCCAATATCTGACCTCAACCTCCCCAGGGAGGGGGGGCTCGAGGACGCTCCTCTTCCCCCTTAGCAGATCCCCAAGTGCATGAAGAGAAAAGGCAAGAAAACACCCCAAAAACCTGTGTCCCCCTGACCTGCTCCAAGCAGGTGTTTATAACCCAGCACGCCCCAGGTGATGCAGGGGGGTGGTAGCACTGCTGGACTCTTTAGCAGTGCTCCTGACCTGGTGAAATCTATCCCTGCCTGGGAACAAAGGCACTGGCCCTCCAGGATGCCCAGCACCCCCAACTCTTATCTCACCCCCCCCCCAAAAAAAAAACCCAGTCCCTGCTGGGCGGTGGGAGCTTCTTCTCCTCCCATCAGCACAGACAAGGCTAATTGGGGTGAGGAAGAACTGGCTGCGATGCTGGCGTGGGCTGGAGGAACAAATGGCGCGGTGGTCACAGCTGGTGGCTGCGGGGATGGGAGAAGGGAGAGGCTGGGAGGAGAGGCTCCTGGCACCCAAACTTCCATCAGCCCGTGGTGGCCAGAGGGGCAGGGGGGCTCCCT